TCTATAATTATGGATACCATACTACTAACACATGATTACACAATCATTGTTCTATAAATACGTTATATATAGTACCTACATATGTACTATGGCCAACGTAATCGCTACAATTTTGCGTATGTATTGGTCACGCTGCGTTAATACTTCAGAAGACAGTTATTTATGAGGTAAGGGTAGTTGATTTAAATATTTGCATATACATTTGAACGCGAAAATAGTTGTAGCTAATTTTAAGTTATGTATTATCAAATTATTTTCACTTATAACCTGATTAAAAATTTCGATTTCTCATTTATGGTTAAGCGTATTGTAAAGTCAGTAAGTATACTGCTTTGTAACTGGTGTTCGCGGGAAGTGTGCTCAATAACAGCTTAATGAATGCAGAAAAGCGGGTTTCGCTTACGAGCTTAAGACGTGGGCATTTAGATGAGAACTCTTTTTGTCCCTCGTTATCATCAAATTCTCGACACGAGTCCGACAACTTGAGTTGGGCAATTTTCTTCATGAACGCGTTCTACAACATTTTTTTTAATTTGCCAATTTGTATATTTATTCATCGTTTGTCTACAAATACCGGTTTGGGTGACAAAAAGAGTCCTTGCCTGAACATATTCCTAGTAGCCATATTTGAATAATATGCGAAGGTACTCTAGACTATTGTGTATTTTGCTTTTGCAGAGTTCCGTCCATATATCGAAATATCATAAGGATTTTCTTAAATTTAACTTTTTTCTTGTGTTTTGTATAACAAATATTAAAAAATTGAAATTTACTATTCATTATAAATAAAGTTTCAATATTTCAATTAAGCAGGTAGAGGGTCAAAGTGTATTCAAATATTAAATATACGATATGGATTTTGTTTATAAGTACAACCACTCAATTATACACAGAGTTAAATAAGTCTTTAAATGTTAAATGTACGAAAATTTATGTATATTTATATTTATTATATTTATTTCAGCAATGAAAATTCGCATGTGCAAGCTTTTCCTCATTTAAATGAGATCTGAAACTGCAGGAGATAAATTCCGAAACCAAGCGAAAAATATTCAACAAAAACGAAATGAATATGTATTCTTTCGCTGGCGAAAGTGTCTGTGTTGTAAAAGGAAAAATTGGCAACCACGGGCATTTCTTGTATGATTGGAACTTATGTAACATGCAAGCGCGTCCTACATATTGCAACTCCACACATTCTACACACAAATTAATAATAATATTAAACGAATAAGTAAGGGCTAAGTTCGGGTGTAACTTAACAATTTATACTCTTGATAATTGCAATAGGCTATCTTAGTTTGATTAATATATCTTATTCTAAAATCATCCTCAAATGAGATAGTATACATGTGTGATATAAAATCAAGAAGCTAAATTGAATATATTGAATTGATGTAAAAAGGTCAATCAAAAAATTGGAATTCATTATATTAGGGATATGAAGTTTAGACCACGACCATTTCATTTTTATTGAGCTCCAAATCATTAAAGAATCGGAAATCATTATTTGGAGTATTTTTTTGGCGCAGGGAAATTTAAGGGCTGATTGAATTAATCATTAGTCATTGCTCAGCTATACTTGAGAGCTTGTTTTCAAACAACTTAATAAATATCTACATATAACATGATAGATGTAAGCATTAAAGACGGTTGAATGTTTCAAAATCTTGAATATAAGTTATATGGGGCTAAGGAAGGTTTTCACCCCATTTTTATACATTTTGGGCACAAAGATACACTGTTATTACAAGAAACACGCCCTATCTATTTCATTTAAATACCTCCCACATTGACCCATATAACGGTATAAAGGTCACTGTATGTTCGAAAATCTTTATATAAATATATGGACTTTCTGAAGTATTGATCCTATTCAATCCCATTTTGACACAAGGGCGTATTATTATTATCAAATAAACATTTTCCCCAAATTTCAATTATATATTTCATAGATTGACCGATATTTTCGGCAAACAGTAAGCCATAAGCGGTTGAATAGTTATGGTCCACTTTTGACAATTTTTGGGCGTAAAACAAAATCCAAAACAATGAGAACACTATTTGCGTGAAGTTTTATCCAAATACATTGTTTGACTTTTGATTTGTGTACTGGAAAGTTGAAGAATCAGGTAGAATTTAAAATTGTGTTAAATGGGTTTTGTCTGATTTCGTCCACTTTCGACTGAGTCATATGGATTTTCACTTAAATATTCTAGAGATATGCTTCGGCATATAAAAATGTGCCACACCGCTGTGCAACTTGGTGGCGAGGCAATCAATGGGTTAATGCCGAAATAATTTATAGTCTCGTTACCCATTTGCATTGTGTTGCGCTGTATTGCAGCAACATATTCGTGCACTTGGTGGTGGTTGCCACAGTCGTCAGACGCACATGTACTCACCGCGGCTTTGTCGTCAGCATGTGCAGAACGTGGGGTAGAGTACAAAAGTGGAATACGGGCATGCACTCTCGGTAGCAGTCGTGACTCAAACTTAGTGGGCACAGCTCGGTGATTTTTGCATGTGCAACATATAACGAATGGTTGCGCATCTATTTATGCCTTTATGTTGCTCTCGAGTGTATCCTTTTTGAAAAGAATACCATTGAAAACGAATTGCTACTTGAAAAATATGTGTGTGCGAACTTGCTGGTATGGTCGCGCCGTTAGAATGTCATGCCACTAGTTTATACTGCTGTAGCGTTTCCTGTTTTAATTCTGGCGCGTGTTGGTTTACATGGTCCTTTGCATTTGGTTTGCGCGTTGTAGCGTTTTAAGGTGCGCTTCTGGTGCTTTTCCTTCCATCCTTCCAAGTTCCGCTTTTGCTTGTACTCATCATATTATTATTGTAATTGTTATTTCTACTTTTCTCATACTAGAATTGCTGTTGTTATTGTGAGTGTCGGCTATATAACTTGCTGTGCACCCACGACCATGTTTGTTTGCATTCGGATTTCTGCTCGATTAAGCCGGACGGGCCCGCAGTGGGTGACTGAATGACTTTTCCCACCAAACACTCAGGCCATTTGAGCTCTTACCACTCTCGGTCACGTGTTTACTGTGCTGCAATTACATTTTCAATATTCTTTTTGCATTTTTTATGGCTTTACGCTCGGCCGGTTGCTGCGTTTACTATTCGCTTAAACCGTTATTATTTATTTATAGATTTTCCAAACTGTCACATTGGTATTAGCTTCGTAGGGTAGAAGTGTAAGTGGCGGTGGCGCGCGGTCCATTATAGCAAGTTATGACAGCCGCAAGTCGAGTTAATTACCGAAAAGCTTCTTGCGTGGTGGCAACGGCAATGACAGTAAACGGACTTGTATATTGGGAATACGCTTTTGAAGTCGCGGTGGGAAAGTTAGGATGAAAGTTTGACGAGTATATTGTTTTTTGCACAGTTTTTAACCAAATTAAATTATGTAAATCCAAATGGTTCTTACTAACGTTTCCAAGCGTTGTTTCCTTTCGTTTGTTGCTAAAAACTGCCTCAGCATTGCGTTGTACATTTAATGTCGCATAACTTCAGCGTAGGGAGATAGATTAATGATGCTGGCAATTTACTGGCAATTTACTGGAATTGATGTTTTGTTTACGAAAGGACTGTCTATCTCTCGCCGGAAGATAACGTTCGCCGCAACAGGTGACGCATAGAAGTGTTGCAGCTGAAAGTACAAGTATGTAAGTACATTGTTCAAAATTATTGTGTATTCGTATAGACGCCGCTCGTCATCTGTAAGTAATTAAAAAAGTCCCTTAAAACAGCTTTTTTTGTTTTAATGTAAATGTAATGTAAATAGTTGATTTTTCGGCACAGAGATTTAAATAAAAGGACTTAAAAATAGTAAAGAGGTTGCAGTATAGCCGCGTTAGCAATATTTTATGGGTGTTAGGTTCCCCAAGACGCCTATTTTCAAACATATAAAATATACAATACTAAACAAAACTATTTGTAATAATTTAAACAAAARTAGATAGATTCTTCAAATATTTTTAATAAAATAGAAACTATTTACCAATATTTTTGTACAATAAATAAAATTTTAATCAAAGCTAGGTAAATTTAATCTATATGAACTTTAATAATCGAAATATATTTGACAAAAAAGTGCTTTAAATATTAAATTGGATAGCATAACACGGCAGCACACTCGTGCCTTTTTAAGGCATTTGGCCGTTTTAATGGTAGAATATTTAGGAAACCCTAACGAACTGCCTGGGCTTTTGCCCTGAGTCTTCCCTCATTCTATTGCATTCTTAATGTAATTTCTCCTGTGTATGTATGGGTGAAAATGATAGGATTTGTTACTTGTAAGTTTATACAATGTTTATGACAGACGTTTATTCAAAAGCTTATCATTATACTTTTCAGCTAAACTAAGTATTTAAGTCGAATTAGAACCACATAATTTGCTAAATGGATTTTATTTGTAATGGACCATCGTGTAATCAGGAGGGTGAGTGCTATAAAATTAGCATTCATCAAAAACTAACACATAGAAAATAGTAGTAGAGGGAGCAAAATTGTGAGATGAATAAGTCGATTACTTTTTTCGTTAGTTTAGACAAGTCTACTGTAGAATATATAAAGGTGCTAATTAAGCAGAGAAATGAAAGAGACCTGTTTCTCTATTCATATACTATTCTCCGTTCACCAAATTGCAAATGTTTTTTGAAAAAGAACAAGCACTCTTTTTCTCGTTCAAAGTCAATGTCGAAATATTTTCTATATCTCATATATATATACATATATATAAAGGATTTTCTGAATCCTTTTATTTTCATTATGCTAAGATGTGGCGAGACCCATTAAGTTCTTCTCTTCGTATCTCTTCGTATATTCGAAACTGACATCGCCTTTATAGCGGAATGTTAATTCTTTAATTGAAAAGCCAAATAATATTTACTGAGTTTTTTCCGACCAAAATATACATCCGATTGTACTTTTCGAAAAACTGAAACAAATTTGTAATCGTAATGTCTTCGATTTATTTATATACCTTTAAGTTTACTTTTAAATATGTTACTATTATTTTGAATATCTGGTTCACCTTTTTTACTTCCCATGACAGTTGCATCCTTTACCACCTTTCCCTCCACCGCCGCCGCTGCCACCAGGATATAGAATTGGTTGTATAACCAAAGTTGGTTGGATCACTTTCGTTGGTGGTGCTGGTTGTGTATAGACTGGTGCTGGATGTATTGGGTGTGATGGTGGGTGTACTGGACGTGGTGGCGGATGTACTGGATGCGGTGGTGGTGGGGCGGGATGAACAGGTGGCGGTCGTGGCGCTGGATGTGCGGGATACGTTTGCACAGGTACTATGATGATTTGAGGCGGCCTCTGTCGTGGTGGTGGTGGTGGCGGTCTTGCTGGCGCTGGGTGGTAAAACACTGGGGGCGGTGCAGGTGCTGGGTGATAAACAATTGGTGGCGGAGCCGGCGCGGGATGATAATATGAAGGCTGCTGCGGAGCTGGTGGCAGAAATGGATTCTTCTTGAAAGTGCCGCTTACTCTGGCAATTGCAAAAGTGACTAACAGAGTTTTTACAAATATTGCGAGTGGATAAATCCGTGTTTTCTGATACATGGTTACAGTAGTTGTAATTAGACCTCTTCAAGATAGCTGATTACTTAATATTGAAGTAGAATCGTCGATAACTCTGAATTTATACAAAAATCTTCTTCATACTTCGTAATTGTCAATGATTAATCGTTTCGAAGAAAAATTATTATTTTATACTATTAGAATAGAAAACTTGTTAACAAAATTTTCGATAATACCAGTTTTATTATTTCGTTAGCAAGTTTCGTATGGGAGTCCCCAGTACTCAATCGTCGATAATTGAAAACTAATCAAATATGAAATTGCACTAATTATAATGCCGCTGTAATGTAAAAATGGGTAATTCAGTGATAACATCTTCTTAAAATGTAAAATAAAATTATCAATTTATGCCACTTAAGTCTGATCTCAAGTACCGCGAAATGACTCAAATGTATTTCCCTTTATCGTAGTGAAAATATTTTTCTTCTTGTAATTTTCTCGTGATTTATACGTATGTATATATTTTATTATTTATTGTGATTTACTCGCGTTGCTCATTTGCCGCTTATAAAATGCAAATAAATTCATTGTGGATGATGGCGACCAAGTTGATGCATTAGCGTCGGCCCGTCACGTTAAATAATTGAAACAACTGTGACATATCCGACAAACTTTAAGATGACAACAAAATGTGTTGTCAAATAATCCACTACGAAGCGATTCGAAACGGAACGAAGTGAAATATTATGAAATAAATGTAAAATAATAAATGGCTGAAAATTCATTCACTCACAATTACGGGCGAATAAGTGTAAAGGGGGAAATAAACATTTACTTGAAACATAAAGAATATTATATTAATATCATGCTTGAAAATTTTCAATTTATCTTTCTAATATAAAATGCCTCTAAATTGAAGAAGCTCATTTAGGGGTTTCACATAGTCTCATAAATTTATAAGTTATAACGATCCGAAAATATAGCAGTGATTATTGTAATATTGTAAACTCATTTTTTAGTTGGATTACACTACAATTTTTCCAAACAAGTGTAAAAATTTATAATTTTATGATTTTATTTATTTTATTGCATAGAAACATTTCACAAAATTAAGCGGCCAAGTTGGTGAGAATTTTTCGAGAATTCTTTTTGCAGTGATTTTAATGTCATAATACGTGTGCAGCAACCCTAGGCCAATCAATCTATCTTGAAGCATTTTCGTCCTTAGTCACGTTTTCATGCGGTGAAGTGTCAAAAAAGAGCATTCAGAGCTCGTATTCATCACAGGAAGTGTGTAGAATATGCGAAAATTGCAGTTCTTCAACGTTTTAAGTGCAGTAGTCGGTAACTAGTTGTTTGTTCACTTTTGCTTCTGCTTCCAATGGCACGACGTTGCCATTATCCAAAAGGAATTTGAATCTATCTATCAAGCAGTCAATAAGATTTTCTTTGGTTTTCACACACTGTTTCTGGAAGTAGCAAACTCAGTTGAAATCCATCTATTACATCTCTAGAAAGGCGCATCTTCAAATCTTCGCCGTTTGTATCCAACAGAGGAATGTAAGCTCTCACGCAGAAATTTTTGCGTTTAGTTTGTCGGCCGCAGCTTCTTGGTTTTTCTTTGTCAATTTTCTTCGATTTCGGAACGTTTTAACCAGCGTATCTATCATATTTGATGACTTTGCAAGATCGATCGATTCTTTCAGAAGAATGAGATAGAGATAGAATACCGCATAGGCAAAAAACCCCTATTATAAAATGAAATTTGCATCCAGTTGCGATGAGTAACGTTGCTCTTTGCGCTGTTTCCCAATTTTTCCAGAGAATATATCAATCGAACAATCATCATAGATGGAGCTGAATGCAGCATCTGTTTCAAGTTCGCTATCAAGCCGCGTCGCTTAAAATTTAGCACTTTCAGTTACGGATCTGATTGTATTTATTAACAATATAAACTGCATACGTTGCTACACTTTGTAACTTCAATGATATCTTAGCATTATTTATTATATTTAAAATACCCTTGAGGTGGAATTTCAACCATTTCCCACTATATAATCGCGTTAATTATTTAAATGAATATTCGATTTATTTCGTGCACAAAATGTTATTACAAAAACAGTTGAGGATGATTAAATAACGCGCCTATTAAGCTGTCAGATCCGCAGTAAGAGTTTGGAGAGATTACTGTTCACGAATTAAATGTTTTAGTGTACAGGATCGCTACAACTGATTCGAATGATGTGGAGAATCTGCGGGGACCATCCTTTTGTTAGCTAATGGTGCGGTGTTTTGGTATGGAGTGTTGTCCTGTGTAGTGATATATTTGTATACTGCCTTCAAGTGTGATTTATTGTGGTGTATTATGTTAGGGTCTGCCATTATTTTCCCGGTTGAAGCATTGTTTTGTAAAGGAAATTTTATACTCATTTAAATAGGAGCGGAAACAAATTCAACAAATTAGAAATTAAAAAATTAGTCCGAAAGTTCTTGAGTATAATTAACCCGGTTTTATCATTTATAAAATGTTTGTTGATACACCTATTTTTTTTTTCTTTGTACTTTTTTTGGGATAAGATGTTATGTATTTATGTATATAAATATGCTATAATTTTATTAAACCCTTACTGAAATTATTTAATATCAAGCACGTGCCACATCCTCATGCCTCTTAAAACTTTTCTATAAACCAGGGAGTCAAAATCAACTATAAGTTGTCACTAGATACTAAAAGAGGAGTTTTAAATATTCATACTCAAGTTTTCAATTAGTTTGCAAAGTTTTGCTATCACTTAAGTGACGGTAAAGGCTTCAAGCAGCAGCCAGCACAAAAACTAGGAGTAAGTTTATTATGTTTACATACTTCTTCCTCCTCATGGATATCTTTACCAACCATAAAACAAGTGCATTGTCTTCATCATTACTACCAACAGTCCATTAAACGTTACCCACCATCCGACATCTTAACTTCGGCATAGTCATTGCTGCTTTATAAACATAATTAATTGAGAAATACTTATAAACCGCTTAAAAGGGAGTGATCATTTTCTGTTTTCTTTTGGGAAGTTTGCGCACAACTAATTTGCATAAACACTTCAGTACAAAGTGGCCTACTCGAGCACCATGAGCTCCGTAAACCTTTATAACAATGCAATACAACCGTTTTCATATTAATTTTCTATCAAAAACATCTAAGCGATTGCCGCTCCATCCGACACATCGTCCATAAGTGATGTGTATTTAGTACGATGCGCAATCGTCCAGTTAACTATGTTTTTTTTTTGTTGACATGGGGTTAAGTGGTGGAAATTTGCAAGTCAAAGACGGCACGTAACAATACAATCACTCGTATATCTAAACGCACCATAAGGTGCCCTGAGACATACATACGGGTGTGCGGAGAACGCCCAACTAGGCCACGCAATCCTTAAAACAAGTATACGCACGGGAACTCAATATTAAAAGCGTTAAATCACAACAATTTCTTACATTTCCGTTGTTTCTGCGATGGCGTGTGGGGGCTTGAAGTGGAAGAAAAAGTGGAATCTTAATTAAAAAGTTAATTTGAATATTCAAAGGCGTCGATCGTTTCGAAGGCGTCACCGACGGCAGGCATGAACGGCAGCTAGGTGTCAGCATTGCGGTGTAGGCGGGGTATTGTGTAAAGGAAACGAAACGTAAAAGAAAATGAAATGAACTAAATTATATGGGTACAATGTTGGCATAGTAGAGTAAGTGTGTAAGATGGGGTTGGTAATTGAAAAAAAATCTGGCGAAATATACATGCTATATGTATACGTAGTTGTACTTGTCTCTTATTTGTATATTTGAATCTCAATAAAAAAGGTTGATATTAATATTTACTTGTCACGATGGGTTTATTACGGCTGTAGGGGTCAGTGGTCGCGAGATATCACCACACAGTCAACAGTCGCCGTTTGCTAATAAGCGTTAACTATTAGCCGTCACAGATAAAGATCAAATAATATGGCGCCTCTTATAATTTTCACTTTAAATTAGGCTTTCCGGAAATAGATACGGATGCAGATGCGGATGCGGGTGCGGAAATAAATATCTCAGTGCGCTCAAACATTCCTCCCTATACTATTACTTCGCTATTTAACAAAATTCTTGTCGTTATTTACATTTTCCGTACTTATTAAGAGTCAGTCAGTTGTTGTTGTGTTTTATGTGTATATCGCGCTTCGCATTTAGCTGTAGTTGACGGTAAGTGATTTCTATGCAAATTTGTTGACAATACGACTTGCAAATGAGTAGCTTGCGCGAACGCGTTAGCAGCACTTTTCCGCACCTCGTTTGCCGAGGACAGATTTTGCTGAATGCAAGACAAAAACATTTATGCGTTTTTTAATAAAATGAAAGGTTGCATGTAATAAATTCCGCCACAGCCATTGTGACGCATTAATTATACAATTCTAATGGAGAAAAAAAAAAACATCTACATGAAGGTTCAAAATACCAGCGACAGTAGTGGGAAAAGCATAAAAGTTTTGACCGAATTACACTTCCCCCCGCCCGCGCTTTAATTCTGGCAGTTGTCAGTACTTGACGCAGACAACACGCCTCAACACCTCTTTAAGATGCTGGCAACGTTTGGGTTGTAAAGCGAATTTTGCATGCAAATCGTAGTAGTCTATTGTTTTTGTGTTTTGGAATTGTCGCCTGCCCCACAAAAGCAAACAACCAACTAACCGAGTAAATGTCGTTTGACTCTTAATGTTTGTACTGTTTTGTTTTTCCGTAACTTCGGTCCATTCAAATGCGATTAGTTCATTTTTCAATTGCGACAAACATTTCGTAGCCCTCTCACATTACAAGTGCAAATGCTTGACAAAGAATCTGGCCGTTCACGGCTTTCAATTTTTATGTTATGAAGGCTCGGTATCAGCAGAAACTTTTGTGTAGTGCTTTGTTGATGATGAACTGTTTGATTGTTAAACAGAATTTGTCTAAATGTATTTATATGAGGATGGATCGGTATTCCTAACTTCTTTAAGAGTTTATTAAAGAAAAAAAAAAACCCGTTATTATCACTTAATATCAATAAAAATTATTTAGGTACTGTTTTTCCGTTT